GAGAGAGAGAGAGAGAGAGAGAGAGAGAGAGAGAGAGAGAGAGAGAGAGAGAGAGAGAGAGAGAGAGAGAGAGAGAGAGAGAGAGTCTACTTCCATCGATAGGATGAGAAAAATCGGAACGAATCTTCTACTAGAATATGGGAATAAACACTGCTTTCCAGCCATGTGCGCAGAGAGATAGAGAGAGGCTACTTCCATCGATAGGATGAGCAAAACCGGAACGAATCTTCCACTAGAATATGGGATTATACACTGGTTTCCAGCCATGCGCTCAAAGAGATGGGGAGAGGGAGAGAACAGGTAAGATTCCAACCTCACGGTTGTCCTCACGCTACTTCCATCAATAGGATGAGCAAAATCCAATGAATCTGCCGCGGGAACATGGAAATATACACTGCCACACTTGTAGATTCAGTCCACAGACGCACAGCCAAAAAAGACCCCATTCATAAAATCGTGCCAACAGCAGCCTTCCGCCCGACTGTTCCACACGATTGTTGCACAATGTTGCCACACAGGCCCGAGCAATCACCAGACTCAGAAAAAAAATCGCGGAAAAACAATACTTGAACACTCACCGCCAATATTTGAACACTCACTGCCAGACTCGAAACGATAATCGGGCGCGAAAAGAAGAGCTGCAAAAAAATGATGTCGAACACTGGCCGCCAAACTGGAAACAAAAGTTGGGCGCCCGGGCCTGCTCAATCGCTCCCACATAGGCTGGACCAATTTCGTGCACTGTGAATGGGGGCTTGTGATACGCAACCTCACGCCCCCTCGCGGCTTCCCGTACCGGGTCGCCGATCAGAGATGAAGGAGGGGCGTGGCTGAGAATTTTTGGCCGTAGGGGTTGAGTCTCCCGGACGGAACGTGAGGCTGTCGTTTCGTGCCAGAGGTTACCCCGGAGTCGAACTGTCGTTGCGAAGTCCCGTGGGGGTTGGATCGCTTCGGAGCGATAAAATCAGAAGGGTTTCCGCAAAAACCAACTACCGTCGTACATCAGGACGGGAAAAGGCATCAAGGGGAGAGGGCCATGGCAGCGGAAGACAGAGACTCCGACCGTCATGGGTTTGAGGGATAGATGGTGGGTTCGAAGCCTTCAGGCCTCGTCATCGGCCTCATGAAGTGATCGGACCGTCGGGTTTTTGCTGTAGAAGTGGTTGGTTCGAGGCCTTCAAGCCTCGGCGTCGGACTCGCAAAGTCCGCGCGGAAGTTTTCGAAAGGGTGAAGCGGCGGGAGGACTCGCCGGCATCCGAGTTCGAAATTGAGCGGGCAGCGCCCCCGCATTACGGGAGAGCTCGGGGAAACGTGTCCCTCCCTCGTAACCGAGGACCAAGCGTCGCCAAGAACACGAGTCCCCCTGGCGACACCATCGACAATCGAACTGCGGCCACCACGCGGCGTGAGCAGCCGACCAGGGCACCGCCGTCAAACCCGTATAAGGCAATATTAGAGTCGGGGAATCAAA